AATGACTTGAAAAGGGGGTGATTATATTGGTAATTTCCAGGTCAAAAAGTGGGGGTATATGAAATTAGGAAAAGTCCTGAGAAATCTCACCCCTGCAGATTTGTTCCAGTCAAGTCCCAAATCAGTTCTCCCATCTCAAGTCAAATTGCAAGTTAATTATTTTTTTATTCAAGTCTCAAGTGAAACAATCCTGCGTCTCCAGTCTGATCCCATTCTGGGTCGTCGATCCAAGATAACAATACTGCCAAAAATTGGTAGGAAATTTTGGGGGAAAAGCATCAATTGAAAAGTAGTTCAGCTTTTAAGAACGGTAAACACTGGAACGCGAAAATCATAGATCATTAAATACCAATCTGAAGTGGGTTTTTTTTGGGGGGGGGTCAAACCAAGCAAACTCATTGCAGACATACATCCAATATTCTTCGCTGGGAGACTTGCGCATTGCTTTCCACGGATCAATGTAGTTTGCCAGGCTGAAGTTCCCTGGACCAGAAGTGGTGATGTTCAAATCATCCAACTCGAACTCTGTCAAGTTCGTCAATGCCACACACTCATTGTCGAATGTGATCACCCCTCCAGCTTGGAAGCAGTCCGTAACGATGTCGCTGGAAATGAAAAAGACTGCTGATGTGATCAGTTTTTATTTGATCAGTTCTTATTTAATTTTTTTTATAGTTTTCCTAGACCTGCCCACTTTCATAACAGTTGGATAGGCTTACCTACGGAACTATTTTCTTTCCAGACCTTAGCAAACCAAAATTGCTTGCTACCTACTCAATCCATGAAGCCAGTCGCGGTTCTGGGACCATTTTATTTAATTCATTTATTTATTTATTTTGGCGGGGGGCTAGGCCCTTCGCACGTGACCTCACCTTTGTTACTGATCTTTTTTCCTTTTCATTTTTGTTGCACCTTTGGGGGCTACACAATGTTTTTTGGGGGGGAGGGGGGAAGCTAGACACCCAGAGCTCCCCCCGTAAAACCTTGGCTGCATAAAGATGCAAAAATATTGGATGGATTCAAATTCTTCGGACTTTTGTGAAGTTGGTTATTAATGTCAATTACATTTTTTCCCTTTCAGAAAAGTTTTGTAAAAGTCTGTAAAGGCTTCCAACTACAGAGGATAAATAGAATATCCGGATACGGACCCTTTTCGGTCAAGATTATCCAACACTAGATACAAGCCATGGGCATCTCCTGGATTTTCTCAAGGGATAAACTTTTTTCGCGGGGGGGACACAGCACCAAAATGACAAAGCGTTACCGATGCAAAGGGATCATTTTTTAAGTAAATGTTTGATTTTCACTCCATTTAACCCTAAAATAGCCAAATGGATTCCATCTCCCCCCCACGCAGCTTTGCCGATATCACTGCAGTGAATTTTATTCAGGAGCTGAGCCTTTAGGAGTTTTTAGAGTAACTCTTTGCGGTCTTTTGACACCAATTTGGTGAAAATGGAACCTGTCATTTTAGCACAACTAATGTACAGGCCTATGTACTTTTCCACTGCGGTGCTAAAAGCACGCTAAATGGCACACATGCAGCCTCGAACTTCAAATGAACATTAACAAACCTAAATGTCTGATCTTCACATTTTGTAATGTTAAGGAGGTTTTTTTTATGTTTGTCAAGTTTAAAAATATTTCGGCTTAGCATAGCCGAATCATTGGGAGGGCGGAATCGCCCACTACCCTACTCCGGGCCAAAATAACTCGGCTCTCTCAGAGTTGGTGTTTCTTTCTTTCACTTTTCTTTCTCTTCCTCTCTTTTTTCTCGGGGTGGGGGATTCCCTTCCCCCCTGCAAACAACCATGAATGAGTATCCTTCACAACCCTAGATCTTATTCTGTTCCCCCTCTTTGTCAGCGAAGAAACAGTTGCCGGTACCTGCACATCGGAGTGTTCCAAGGTTGCCCGCAGCCAACCCAAGGCAGTGAGGACGTGAAGGAGATGAAGAAATAATAGACCGTGTAGGTGATGACAACTCCGTAGGCGATGGTCATATAGAAGGCCACGAGGAATTGTCCGTAACTCACGCCTGGAGAATAACCATAAAATGGACGGGAAAAAGCCCAATAATGGCAGTATGAGTTTTTGGAAGAAGTTATGGTCGGAAGTCAAATCATTCACAGTCCTCACAAGCTATTCCCACTTTACAAAGGTGAACTTTTTTATTCGTTTTACTTTTTGGTTTTGTTGGTGGCATTGTTCTTGGGTCTTTTTTTACCTTTTAAGATGGGATAGGCTCGCCAGCAGGTCAGCATACCCAAACTGCAGTATTGGCCAAAGTTGACCTCCATAAAGAACATGGGCATCCCAGCTAAGGCCAGACTCAAGAAGTAAGGTATCAGGAATGCACCTGTGAATGGCACACAGAAACTTATAGCGGTCCTAAAGGTTCTCAGTCAAATGCCATTATAATGAACGAAAGAGGGGCCTGAAAAAAGGTTGAGAAAGTGGTTGAGGAACTGGGAGACATACTCTGCAAGAACTGTTGCTACGTGACCAATTTCAATATCGCAGGTT